TGTCTGTGTATCTCTCTGTCTGTCTATGTCTGTGTGTCTCTCTGTGTGTCTGTGTGGCTCTCTGTGTGTCTCCCTGTGTGTGTGTGTGTGTGTGTGTGTGTGTGTGTGTCTGTTAGTCTCTCTTTCTCTGTCTCTGTGTGTGTGTCTATCTGTCTGTCTGTCTGTCTGTCTATTTGTGTATGGGTATCCAATTTAGTCAAAGTGTGTGTGTGTGTGTTTGTGTGTGTGTTTGTGTGTGTATGTGTGTGTGTGTGTGTGCTGATTAGAGTGGTGGTGTATCAGTGTGGTGGCAGCTGCTCCCTGGAGACGGCCCACTTACCCCCCCCTCCCAAACACATGCGCACACCCACACACCCTTCTCTCTGGATACGCATCCCTCACCATCTCTCCATCTTGTTCTCGTTCACTCATCCACTTTCACTGTCATCTGCCATCCGTCTTATCCTTTCATTTCTGTCCCTCAGGTATGGCTCTGCATGGTGTGGGGGCCGGGGAGTCGGGGGAGGTTGGGCAAGAGTAGAGAGACCTAAGATGCCTTAAGATTTAGTGCATCAGCTTACTGTATTTAACAAAATGAACCTCGGAATAACCTTCTGACACAGAACACAGAACACTGTCTCAACCAGGAGGACAAACACCAGCCACAATCACATCACCACACTACAGCTGCTCTGCTCATCAGTTACTGCGGCCACTTCCAGAATTCTGATTCCTTTACACCTCGTGTTTGATTAGATTTTTTTTAGATATTGGGTTTTTTTTGGTAAACCAACAGGCAACAAAGACAATAACATTTGCTGCAAGTTTGTTTATTGCTGTTTACCCAGAGCTAAATGACTAGGGCTGAATAAACACACCAGTCTGAAACACACAGCAGTTACACTCACACCACCATCTCAAACTGAGCTGTCCTTAACAACAGATGTCAACATTTTGGTGCATTTCAACATTTCAGACAGACAAAAATCTGTACATACATGATTCATTTGTGTGTGAGAGAGAGAGAGAGAGAGAGGAGAGAGAGAGAGAGATTGATTTAAGCGTGATTTAAAGTAAGGTTTTGAGCGAGCAAGCTTTAGTGAAACAAACCAGAGTCATAATTCACTCATTCTATACACATACATATATTTTCTTTCAATCTCTTTCTTTCTTTCTTTCTTCTTTCTTTCTTTCTTTCTTTCTCTTTCTTTCTTTCTTTCTTTCTTTCTTTATTACCTCTTTCTTCTTTTAATTTGTCTCTTTATTTCACTCTTCTCTCCCACTGCTCTCTATGTTTGTCTATATTTGTCTCTCTTGTCTTTCTTTCTTTCTCTCCTGCACTCTCTCTCTCTCTGTCTCTCTCTCTGTCTCTCGCTCTCTCTCTCGCTCTCTCTGCTCTGCTGTTGTGTACAGAAGAGACGCGTGTGGTTTTATTGCTGTCGTGTTCAGGGCGAGCGTGGCCAATCGGCTCAAATGGAGCAGCTTATTGTGATGGTAATAAAAGGTCAGAGGTCAGGGCGCTGCCTCCATTTGGAGCTGCTTGAATTATGTTTAACATAAAATCCGAAGACTTTAATGCATAAAGCCGTGCAGCACAATACACATTACAGACTGAGGAGTTATGAAGATTTGTGGGAATGTGCAGTTAAAGGCACTTTCCCTTAAACGTCAGGTAGAGACTTGAAAATAAAGAAAGAAGAAAAAGGGGAAGAAAAAAGGAGACAGGGGAAAGTAAGAGATGAATCAAGCAAATGAATAAAAGTATAGAACCAAGTTAAATAAAGATAAGAAAAGAGACAAAACAAAGAAAAGGAAGACTCGAATGAAAAAACAAAAGAAAGAAAGACAAAGAAAATTGGAGAAAGTAGGAAGGGAAGAAGAGAAGAAAAAGAAGGGAAGAAAGAAATAAATAAAAAATGAAAAAATGTAGGACAGAAAGAAAGGCTCAAAGAATGAGAGATGTAATTAAAAGAAAGAGAAAAGGGATAAAGTAGAGAGGAATTAATGAAGTGGAAAGAATAAAAAAGAAAGAAATTAATGAACAACAGGAAAATAAGGAAGGAAAGTCAAACAGGAAGAAATAATAAGTGACATATAGAGAAGGAAAGAAAGAGAAGGAAAAGAAGGAATTCAAACAGAAAGAAAGTAATAATAGAAGGAATGAATGACCCAAGGAAAAAGGGAGAGAGAATGGGAATGAAAGAAAGGAAGAGAGTAAGGAAGGACCAAAAAGAAGTAAATGGGAGGAAAAAAGGAAATAGAGGAAAGAATAAGACAGAAAGAAAGGCAGACAGAAAGAGAGCAGAGGAGGAATTTCTGTGGCACAGAAAAAAGAGAAGACGTGAATCCCCCCTTCCCCCCGGTGAATGGAGTGCAAATTAGGGGTTAATTACTCCGCCTGCTCCGCTTTGACCATCAGAGCCAATTAAGCTTGTTAGCCCCAAACCCCACCCTGCTCTAATTGCTCAACGAGAACAAAAACAAACAACAACACTGTCCAGGAAAAAACTGTGTCTGGAGCGTTTTTAGCTCGGCAGACTGCAGAGAGCATTCCAGCGTGCGATCTGGAGGCTGGCAGAGCGCTCCCAGCTTTAAGAGAGAGTGTGAGGCACCATGTGGAGCAGCCGTGTGTGCGTGTGTGTGTGTGTGTGTGTGTGTGTGTGTGTGTGTGAGATTCAACACATTTGTAATCCTTCATAGCAGCTCATAGTCTTCTGAACACTGATCACTGACCAGCAGTGACAATATTGATTCAATTGCACTGATTTTAAATCAGCTAGAACCAATTCTAATTATATTCAGTGAAGTAAAATTAAAAGATAAAATTTACTGCTTTCATACGTAAGTAAAAATGTTTTTTGCGATGTTTCTATTGTCTATATTCCTCTACTATAAAATGATTTTGTGTTTTTTTTTAATTAACTCTGAATCATACCAAAGAATTGAATCATGTTAAAATTTTACATCAAATCATGATGTATTGAATCGTTTCTTGAAATCAAATAGAATCATGAAATTTCTGATGTCATGTTTGAATTGTTTCTTAACGAATCATAATTGCATCATGAAACTGAGACTTCATGATACAACAAATCATTTTCTTAAAGATTTGTAATCAAAACGTATCTTGATATTGAATCACTTCTTTAAGAATTGTAAACAAAATATTGAATCATGTTGGAAGAGAGCATTCCAGAGTGTAATCAATATATAGCATCGTTCTTTAAAGAATTGTAATCGATATATTGAGTCGTTTCTTAGAGTTGTAATCGAGTCATGTTGAAATTTGAGATTTCATGATTATTGATTTGTTTAATGAAGAAATGTGACAAAGAATCAAAATTCCATCATGAACAACTGTGCAATGACATGATGTATTGAATCTTTCTTAAAGAATCCTAATCAAAGCAAATCATGATGAAATTTGAGATGTCATAATGCATTGAATCATTTCCTAAAGCATCATAATTGAATTAATTAATGATGTAATTTGAGGCGTCATAATGCATTGAATCATTTCCTAACGAATCTTAATTGAAATGAATCATGAGGTCAGAGGTTTGTGTCTCCAAGATCTAGTTCAGGACTGCTGGTCCTGGATCATAGTGCGTTATTGTAAGTTGACCTTCATGTTGACAGGTCTCAGTCAGTGTGTGGAAGCCTCTGCTCCATATCGATTAGCTGATGAATATTTAAAGAGACATCACACCCTGTGGAGGGAGATTTAATGAAGAGTTAGCAAATGCAGTGAGTCTTTAAAAGGAACAGTGTGTTCACACACACACACACACACACACACACACACACACACTTGCACTTGCTAGGAGGGATGGAGGGTGGAAAGGCACCGTGACATTATTGTTGTAGTGGCTACCAGTTCTGAAGGAGGGACTTTCAGGAATGGTTGTCATGGCAACAGAAAATAGATTTGTGTGTGTGTGTTTGAGTTTGAGATGGAGGTAGGGGGAGCTGTAGTAAAAAAAAATAGTGACCAAAACACTGTAAACAGTCCAGTAATGAATGAGGAAGTTTTTCTTTCAAATGATATTAAAAATATTTGAGATGTTGTATGTGAGTATATTGTGATATCACATTATAATTGCTAGGGATTATTATTTCTACTTTATTGCACTATTTTTCACAGTTAATCATGAAGTTTCCAGTTTTCATCACTGTCATCCAGTGAGATTAACAGTGGCTGCATGTTCCAACTAATTTGTGTGTATATGTAATACATATCATGTATATAGGCAATCGTTTAAACCCCTTGTGATTGTAGCCTCTCTCTCTCATTCATACAGCTCATAGAGTCTTCTTAAAGTGGAGGCTCTTGAGTGGAACTGTAGCTTTCCACTTTCCACTGTTGCTTTTGTTAGTTTGCTACTCATTGATTTATTTAGAAGGTGCTGAATGTGTTGCTCTAAAAGCCATTTAAAAAAAAACTATATTTGAATGAGAGGGCTACAGTCACTGTCACATACAACGTGTGAGCAGCTGAGCTTCGGCCTGCTCTGCTGTGGATGGTTCAAACACACTCAGAAAAAAAGGTACAAAACTGGGGCAGTACCCCTCTTGTCACTAGGGTGGTACCCTCAAGGGTACATCTCAGTACCTTTAGTCGGGGGACAGAATTGTACCATAATCCATTGAAATTATATTTTCTAAGTTGTATTGACCCCACACACCTCGTCTCGTCTCCAGGCATTTTATTAGTCTGTTTTAAAACATTAGGTTATGAAAAGGTACAAATACATACTTTTCACCTGGAAAAAACTTATGTAAGCTACATAATTGGATGTTAAAACCACTGTTGTACCTTTGAGGGAACACCTACATTGTTTGTACCTTGATGAACAAAAAATGTACCTGCACAGTACCTTTATTTCTAACAGTGAAGCGTCCAATAAAGAAAATGCATTAACAGCGACATTCCCAGGAATTTCAGAAAGTTATGGCAAATGTCAAGAATTTTGAACTGCATAATCACCATAATTCCTAATGAATGTATGTTCGTTCCACAGGGCTCATTCCCAGGAAACCTCCAGCTGGTGTTGGTGTTGCGGCCCACCACCCTGTTCCAGCGCACACTGTCCGACTTCCTCTTTAAGTTCAGCAAGGATGAGTTCAAAATGAAGGTGCCGGTGAGTTCATTATTGGAGTATAAATGGCAGAATCTTCCATCAAAAAAAGGTGCTCAACTAGCCAATGTTTTAATAGGAACAGTGACTAAATTGACATTTGCATTAACACCAACCGGCCGCTTCATTAAGTACAGCTACCTTGTATCTATACTCGTCCATTTTATCAGATTCACTCACCATATCGGTGCACTTTGAATATCTACAATTACAGACTGTAGTCCTCCTATTTCTCTATATACTTTGTTAGCCCACATTTACCCTCTTCTTCAGTGGTCAGGACCCCCACAGGACCACCACAGAGCAGGTATTATTTGGGTGGTGGACCATTTTGAGCACTGCAGTAACACTGACGTGGTGGTATGAGTGGATCAGACACGGCAGTGCTGCTGGAGTTTTTAAGCTCTGTGTCCGCTCACTGTCCACTCTATTAGATATTCCTACCTTGTTGGTCCACCTTGCAGATGTAAAGTTAGCGACAATAGTAACAGGACGCTGCCCACAGGATGCTGTTGGCTGGATATTTTGGTTGGTGGACTATTCTCAGTCCAGCTGTAATACCGAGGTGTCCCAAATAATGCCTGCTCTGTTGTGGTCCTGTGGGGGCCCTGACCATTTATGAACAGGGTAAAAGTGGGCTGATAAAATATTCAAAGAAAAAGATGGTCTGTAATCTACAAAATGCACCTATAGGGTAAGTGGTGCTGATAAAATGGACAAAGAGTGTAAAAATAAGGGAATGTACTTAATGAAGAGGCTGGTTGGTGTAGATCTATGGAAAAGACATCAGTAAACCGGATTGGAAATTGTGGTTGAAAGAGCACAATAACTGACCGTGATGCTCAATATATAAGGAAAAACTGAAGAGTAAAGGCCTTTACTCATGATTTGTTTTATTCATGATTCATTTGTGTGATTTATTCGCACAACAATAAACTAATTACACACCAAATGCGATTTTTCAGACGGCAAAAATGCTGTTTTATTTTGTACGCCCTCTATTCAATTTTTGCAAACTACGACATGAACCCATGTTTGAATCCTCAGTCATATGATGTGGATACCAGGAATACACCCACACACACATACATCTGATGATGCTCGTCCGTCTTTCTGCTCGTCTTCTTTTCAGCATCAGCGTGGTCATTATGCTTTGCATTACTCACTTCATTAAATGCATGAATGTACACACACACATTCATTTACTGCTTGAGTGTCTTTCATTACTACACTAATTACATCAGCACAGCTGACAGACTGACAGTTGCAACCCCCCCAGAGAACGCTGTCGGTTGATATGTGACATGTGTTGCAGGTGATCATGCTTAGTTCAGTGACTGAGCTGCACAGCTACATAGACCGCACCCAACTGACGCAGGAGCTGGGAGGCACTCAGGAATACTGCCACGAGAAATGGATTTCACACCGCACTGTGAGTACTGAGAACAGCAGGACAGAAAGAGAGAGGGAGGGAAAGGATGAGTGGGCTGAAGAGAGAATGAGTGGAATGAATGGATTGATGGAAGACGGGTGGGTTTGTGCATGGTTTAATAAAGAAATAAGCAGATAGGGTGAGCTAATGACGTCATCAACGTGTTTGATCATTGACATCAGCCAATATCATGATATAATTTTTTTATCGTTTCATATTTATTTACCATAAATATTATTATATATAATTTATATGAAATATAAATTATTTTAATGGCACATGAAAATTCAAAAATAGATTTTCAGTCTTGCAGAGAATGCTGGAGAATATGCAGTTGAAACAATACATTCAGTGCATGTGATTTAAACTCTGCTAGTGAGTGAAATGAATGAATTTGTCCAGAAAAAGGGGGCCACTTTGTTGATTTTGCCAGTTTTGGTGATGTACCCTGAATAGTGCTTGCAAATTGGTAGTATTACAGTCATAGTCTATTTTCTGTACTGACAGCATGTAACACTGTAAACATCAAGTGGTTCTGTATGTTAGTTGGTTGGAAACCCAAATCTTTCAAACAAAAAAGGTATTTATTAATTATCAAGTAATATTAGAAGGTTTTATGTTATGAACTTGTTTGTCGCGATAATTCAGCAGATGATAGTCATAAGAATAGATGGATAGATTTAGTGGATGGTTTAATTAAAGAAAAAGCAGGATGGAAGGATGGGTGGACGGAAGGATACATGGAAGGGTACTTTTCTGGTAGGCCCCTACAGATGTATCAGTTGGCTAAGGAAATCGGCAGATCTTGAAGGCTGACAGACTTATTTTTTTGGCTAACTTTTCACCAGTAAAGCGCCAATATTTAATGGTTCGTTTTATATTGTAAGACACATTCTGTGTGGGGGAAAAAAAGAGTTAATTGTAGTGCATTTTTAACTTTAAGATTACATCAGCGAATATAATAGGGTATCAGAATTTTTAACTCGTTAGAATCAGTATCTCATTAGAATAGAAGTATGGATAGTTGAATACACATAAAATAAAAAAGGATACTAGACATGGAGAAAGTGGCAACCTTCTGCAGATCATTTGTAATCCTGAGTTTAGCTGTAATAGAAAACTGAGAGTTGTTGTAATCCAGACAGAATGAAAGCCTTTTCACTTTCTCCTATTGCTGAACTCACTCTTCACTAACCAGTCACAGAGCACTGTATTGATCCTGTGGTCACGATAGATTAAGCGGTGGTGTTGGATTTAGTGGATTAGTGCACACTTGTGGTATGTTCTCAATGCTGGATTATGGGTAGTAGTGTATGTTTCAAATTATAGCACGCCTCATCACTGCTATGTGGACTGTAGACCATGTCAGGGTTTTAGTGCATTCAAAAGGATAGTTTATCCAAGTTTGTTTGCCAAACTATGCCTTTAATTATAAGCCAGATCTTGAAAATTGAATTGCTCTTGCTTTTTGAAATAAGTTTGATGTAGTATGTAAACACTGTTAAAGTTTCAAAACTACTGGTCTCTCTCAGTCTATACAGTTCATAAATTGAAACTGAGCTCTAAAAACAGCCGGTTTTGAATGAATTGTTTTTGTGATGTCATAACAGTTTAGCTCCACCCATTCATGCTGAAGTTATAAGGAGTGTTTCATACCAGACTGTTTTTTCAGTGAGGGCCCAGTACAGGACAGCCAATCAGGACAGAAGTCATTTACACGTCAGTCTTAGGCACAGTAAGAGAAACTTTAATTATAAGGGATGAAGTGCAGTCAGAAAATGGTCATGTAAAAACAAATGATGACACTTTTTTTTGTGTATAACATCATAAGTGGATTTAAGGGAAAAATAAAATCTAAGAAAAATTTGGGTTCTTTAAATTAGTGCCCACTTTTTATATGAGCGCACTAACAGACATGCTTGGCTCCATGTTTGCAGGCCATCGAAGGCTTTGCTTTGATGGTGAAGAAGACAGCACAGACTCTGCAGGCATTTGGGACGGAGCTGGCTGAAACCGAGCTGCCCAACGACGTCGAGGCCACATCCAGCCTGCTGACCACACACACAGAGAAAAAAGAAAAGATGAAGGTGAGGCTCAAACTGCACGCTAAAGTACTGGCCTGAACAGAAAGGTTGATCTACATAGAAGATCTTTATGGTTTAAGCTGGGTCTTGAGGCCAGCCACATGATTAGTATATGAAAGTTTAGGAGTTTGAAGAAAGGATTTGTCACTGACATTGCAACCTTTATTGAAACATGAAGAGGTCCATCATTTTCTTTCTTTGTTTCTTTTATTTCCTTCCTTACTTCCTTTCTTCCTTCCTTCCTGTCTGTCTGTCTGTTTTTCTGTCTGTCTGTGTATACACAGGAGGATCTGAAGATTGCTCTGAGTCAGGGAGGGCGTTTGTTGGAGAGTATTAATGAGCCATTGGTGTCGAATCCAGACTACAACATGAACCACGACGAGCTTGAGAACCTGGCTACTGTGCAGAGGTGTGTGTATGTGTGTGTGTGTGTGTGTGTGTGTGTGCTCATCGTTTGTTTACATGTTTGAGTATCAGAGTGTAAATCTGTGACTCCAATCATTACCATTATTTTAAAGATACATACAAAATACACTAATAGGACTGAAAAACCTTTTTTACGCAGGAGTGAAATATGCACAGTTTTTGCTTTGAAAGTAACCAGAGAATGTTTTCTGGCCAATGAATTAGAGCATATTTTGAAAAAAATTATCTTCATCCTAAATTCTGATTGGCATAGGAGTCTATGAAGCCATTATAACATACACAATATACACGAACGCATACGCCAGCACTAAAAACTCTTGTGCTGAGAATGGACTGTTATGCCGCTTCCATGGACTGTGCTAATCAATGATATAAGAACCAAGTTTTGTTGAAACTGAGAGACTGACAACTTATTTTCTTAGCAACTACACCGAAAGATAGCAGGCTAAACAAGCTAAACTGCTCCCCTGTTAATATTCAGTGTTTGGCTTTGAACTGAAGTATTTACTGAATGATTCACTGTAAAATAGCAACATACAACGTAAACAACTTGTTACTTCACTTCTGATTTTCATAACTGAAGTTATTGAAATGTGTATATTTTTGTCATATTTTATGCTATATTTTATATTTTACACAGTTTTATTTATACTTATAAGTAATAAGCCATGAGAGGCTGTGGGTTACAGTGATCTTCCCATAGGTAAGGGGTTTTTAGACACTTCACCTGGTGATAATATCGCTGTAATGCACGGCCTCTCGTGTCTTGTTGCTTTATTCTAACATTCCAAAATTGATGCAATTGAATCACCACCATCAGATTGATGTGTCATGATGCATAGATGAATTCTGCATCCTCTTTCGTGTAGTGATTATAATGGTTGACAAATAATAACCAGGCAGAAATCCACATGGTATACAGTGTCTCCGACTGAGCCCACTTACCCCAGCTGTCCTTTGCAAACACAACACACACATGTGCTGTACACTAATAGAGTCTACTTGTCCTACGATGTCATCGCTGGTGACCTTATGGTTGATGAAATACTTCAGAGGCTTAGGCTGGTCCCATTTCAGCCAGTATTACTGAAACACTCATTTTGAGTGTGTTCTAAGTAAAATAAGCAAAGACTCAGCCAGTGCAGTTTAACCCCTTTAACCCTCTAAGAGCCTGTGTGTGATCCACACAGTATATAATTCCTCACTCTTATGACTGCTTAACTACATAATCACAAAACTACATATCTGCTCAATATCACAATATACCAAAATATGTACATAAAATAGATTAATAATAACCCACCAGTTTATAATTGACAAGCCTACAGTTTTTAATAACTGAATAATAAACTTGCAGTTTATTATAAATATGTAAATAACACACCTGCTGTTTATTATTAATAACTTAATAACAAGGCTGCAGTTTATTATTTAAAACTGAATAACAAGGCTGCAGTTTATTAGTAATAACTGAATAATAAGCCTGCAGCTTATTAATAACTAACTAATAAGCCTGCAGTTTATCAATAACCGAACAATAACAATATTCCTGTGGTTTATAATTAATAATTCAATATAACCCTGTAGTTTTTATTCAACTGCAGTCTTATTATTCAGTTATTAACTTGTTAGATGCAGCTTTAGAACCACATTGTGATGAACAGGTCTGCAGTGTGTGTGTGTGTGTGTGTGTGTGTGTGTTTTGTAACTCAGACATGTTTGATTTATGTAATGTTTGTTTGGTACTGCAGGCAGAGGCTGTGTATTTTAAGATGGTCTAAAAACTCCGGTGGTGTCTTAGGTCGGCCTTAATTTGCCTTCCTGGGGAGGGGGGGTTACATTATGTGCTCCTCTTCTGAACAGAATCACATTCTCTGTTGTGTTTGTGTGTATTTCAGAGTTCATTCATTGATTGATTCACACGCTCTCTCTGTTCTTTCTCCTTCTGTCTCTCTCTCCAGGCTGCTGGGTCAGTTAGATGAAACAGAAACGGCGTTTGATGATTTCTGGGAGAGGCATCAGACTAAGCTGGAACAGTGTCTGCAGCTCCGACATTTTGAACACAACTTCAGGGAGGTACAGAAACCCCTTCAGTCCAGTTTTCACAGTTTATCTGAGAGCTTGAAGGGAGAAGTTCAGCATGGTGTCATAATGTGTGTATGTGTTTTAGGTGCGAGCTCAGTTGGATCAGGTAGCTGATAAGCTGTCTGGTTTCTCTGAGGTTGGCATAAGCCCTGCCCACGGCGAGCACATCCTGAAAGAGCTGACCAATCACGAAGAGAGAACATGTGTAAGTATGAATAAAGGAATTTCCTGTAATGTGCGTCCATACAGTTTACCTCAAAACCATAAACTTATTTAACCCCTAGAAGCCCACTTACTGTTATTGTTTTGCTACATGTTCCATTACCATTATTTAACTGTAACTATATCATTACATAATTAATACATAGTTATGTAGATAATTACCTTTACATTTGATTTACATTTACATTATTGAATTGGGCCGCAAGTGTTCATTTTCTCAGAAGAACACTAATGTTGGAAATATAAATAACATTACAATAAGAAGTGATTTATTTTCAAACCTCTATTTGCGGCCGGTCAGTGAAGTGTGTGGTGTGTGTGTGTGTGTATATGTATATATAAATACACACATATAATCACACACATAATCATTTTTGGTATATATATATATATATATATATATATGTACCACAAACTATTATATATATATATATATATAGATATATACGATATATATATAGATATATACGATATATATATAGATATATATATATATTTTATAGAAGTGTATGGACCTTATGCATCATATGATCAGTGTTTACATACTATACACACTCACACAATAATCCCTCATTCCTCACTCTGTCACTAACACACGCTGCTGAATGAAGGTGTGTGTTTCTGTTATCTACTGCAGAATGCCACCTCATTACACTCTCAGACTGTACATTCAAAACACTGCAGTAGAGCAACAGACCTTAAACACAGCAGCTCATCTATCACAGTGACAGTATTGACTGCAGGTCATGTGTTTGTGCGTGTGTGTGAGAGAGAGATACTCTGCTGTACTTCTCGTCCTCTGTAGTCCGTAAGGAAGTGCCTGATGCCATTAGCTATTAATCAGCCTGACAGTATCCAGCAGCTGATTCAGCAGCAGACTATTCATAAGGTCTCTGCTGTTTTTGTCTGCTGCTATTGTTTAAAGCAAGCGGTGTCCCGTCAGTAACCAAAAACGATTATAAAGTCTCATATAGGCTATACATATATGTATTTCATATATATAGATATATATATATATATATATATATATATATATATATATATATATATAAAAATACATACACACACAAAGGCTTCTGAGCAAATTGTTTAAAACTATTTTCTCAGCAGTGTGTTTTGCCAGTAAAATCTATGTAACATTTTCATGCACATTTTAGTGCACGGTTTCAGTTCATTATTCATATAAAATGTGGCATAACATTTTCACAGCCCTCCATGTTTTATTTATTTTTTCCAATATGTTAAATTCAGTATTTACAATTATTAATATGTAATGTGTTTGTGTGTGTGTGTGTGTGTGTGTGTGTGTGTGTCTCTGTCTGTCTGTATGTGCGTGTACATGTGTGTGCAGGAGGTGCTGGACCGTGCGCTGACACTAGCCTCTGACGGGGACATTCTGATTGAAAGCTCTCACTACGCTGTGGACTCCATCCTGCCTAAATGCTCAGAGCTCCGAGCTGTGTGTGAGGAGGTGGGAACTGTCCTGAAAGCCAAAAAAGCCCACCTGCTTAAAGCCATGGAGCTCCACTCCAGCCTGGAGAAGGTACACCTGCATTCTGTATTCTGGAATATGGTCCGTAAGTGGGCCACATTTCAGTTCCTCGCTCTTATAACTACATACCGCTACAGACATACCTTCTCCGAAAAGGCAAATTTACAGAAAAAAATTACTTTTAATGTCTATTAATGTAACAAGATTGTTTTTATTAAGTAATTTAAACCATTTCTGTTACAAATGGACCATTTCATTAGTAAAGATTTGCCATTATTGTTGTATTCTTCCTTTCCATTTTTCCTGCCTTCATTCCTTCTTCCCTTTTTTGATCTTTCATTCTTTCCCTCTCTTCTTAGGCCACTAAATGGTGTGAAGATGGAATTTACCTTCTAGCATCTCAGCCTGTTGACAAGTGTCAGTCTCAGGACGGGGCTGAGGCAGCGCTGCAGGAGATCGAGCGCTACCTGGATACAGCCAATCAGCACAAGCTAACTGACTTGAATGGCATCTGGAGGGAGTATGAGTCTGTACTGACGTCAGACTTCAGAGTAAGCAGTTCAAATTCAGCAGTCCATATTTCACAGCCTAAACTCCACAGTGCAAATTCCACACCTCAAATTCAACAGTCTAAACTTGACATCTGAGATTCTGCAGTGCAAATTTCACATTTCATTGAAATACCTGAATGGAATTGAACAGTGAAATTATTGATTTGCAGTGCACTGACTTGTTTTTACAGAATCATAATCAAAAAACAATGATACAGTTTACATGAGCACGCTTGTCGTGGTGTTTGTGTGCTACAGGAGCAGGTGGAGCGGGTCTTCCAGAAGCAACTCTCTATGCAGGAGATGTTTGAGAAGAGGAGGATCAGTCTGAAGAAGCTTGCAGCCAAGCAGACGCGGCCAGTCCAACCGGTTGCCCCCCGGCCCGAGGCCATCATCAAATCTCCCCTCTCATCTCCTGGTATGAATCTATTTATACACTGTTATTTCAGGGTTTGTTCTACCAGGGTTAATGTCAGTTCAGCTAAATCTCTCAATTACAGAGATTCCTTGCTTCTTTTTTCATTCCTTTTTTCTTTTTTCCTTCTCCTTTTTTCCCTTTTTCCCTCCCCCTTTTTCCTTGGTTTGTCCATTTCATCCCATTCCATTCCTTCCTTTTTGCCTCTATCCTTTTTTCCTTCCTTTCTTCTTTCCTTCCATTTTCTTTCTTCCTGTGTCTTTTTCTTCCCCCTTTCCTTCCTGTTTGAGAAACATATGACTCCATTTACACACTGTTATTTCAGGGTTCGTTCTTTTTATAAGTATTAGAGTCCGTTCAGCTAAAATCCTTCAAACATGGAGTTGGATTTTGAGATAAATTTGTTTCGTTTGCTAAAATGTGCAGTGTGAAATGGGTGAACAGGAATTGCAGTCATTAAAACCAAAGCAGATGAACAGAAACATGATTGATAGGAACCCTGCTGGGAACTGAATAGAAGGCCTGCCTTGTAATGACATCTATTGAGCAAGCAGCCATAACTGCAATGCAGTGTTCCCTGTGTCCCTTCAAAGTCACTGTGTACAAGCAGCTCTCACACTCTCGCTCACATGAGTCAGGCTGAGCTTCCCATACCCAGTGAGGAAGACTGACTCTCACTTTATCTTCACTGCTGCCATCTAGTGGTGTGCTCTAAAACTGCATGAGGGATGCATAGGATGTGAAGCGTATTGCTTTTCATGTTATCAGGTCAGAGTATTCACACAGGCTGTCCAAGCAGTGTGGCTGTGTGTCTCAGATGTGGCACTGTGTCTGGAATATAGGTTTCAAGTCTATTTTTCCATGCAGCAAGACACAGTGAAACACACCATGAAAGCAAATCAATGACAGAAAAAAAAGTCTAAACTGGAATTATGCAATCTATGACAGTTATCAAACGAAAGCCAAGGGTAAACGAATGTGACATGCTTTTTTACAAATTATCTTTTTATTAAGCAGAGTAAAGCAATATATTTAAATATATATATATCCATTTGGAAAATTTATATTATTAGAATGTGGTTAGAAGCTGATATTCGGCTTGGCGGTATGGCAAAAAGCATGTATTTTTAAATGCAGGCTTCATAGAAAATGTTACCATGTATTCCTTGCCAGTAGTATCACCATTGATTGTATTAACATAAAACACTACTGGTACATCAGATGTTGGCCTTATGATCCAGATGCTCCATTTTATTGACTTTTTCCCCTCTTTCAATAGCCCACAGGGAGAAGGATTCATCACCTGACATCAACAGCAAAAAAGTAAGCATATTGGTTAATAATTGGTTAATTGGTTAATCCCAGCAGTCTTGTTGTATACCAGCTGAACAACAGACGTTAAGAAACGTGTATGATGTGTCTGTGGGGCTAATATAGTGTTTGTGTGTGTTACTAGGGAGACACGCTCATTCAGAATGGCAGCAGGCCGCCGTCTCTGTCAGAAGAGGAGGAGAATCTTGCTGTCCTTAGAAGGTCAGTTCAAAAGCAAGTGGCATCATGACCTACTTAACAGAGTTAAGATTACTGTGATGTACATGTACAATGAGCAGTGACTATCGGTGTGACTATAGCATTTCTGAACTTGTACTCAGTCATGTATGTGTTTTGTGTGTCTATAGGCATGTAATGAATGAGTTGTTGGAGACAGAAAGAGCCTACGTGGAGGAGCTGCTGTGTGTACTACAGGTAAGAGCGGATAACCACATTAGCTGTAATTAGCTCCTTAAATATTTGTCTGAACCCAATGTCTTTGGACAGATTCAGACATCATGTCCTAAATATGTGTCAGGCATGTGTTAGGTTCAGATTTCACATTTGGGTTTTCACAGCCCACCTCTTGTGAGAAAGTGGATGCGCAGGGCATAAAACAGTGAATCATCTATATTTAGTAATGCTCTTTTTTTATTAAATGTTAAGTTATAATAATATTTAATACCTAATAACATTAAACATATTGTTACTGTCAGAACAAAAACCTCATATCTCCAAAAAAGTTACCTTACAGAAGAAGTAAAAAACATTACCTTTTAGTGTTTAGTGTACCTTTAGCTTAATGTGATCAGATCTTATTCACAGTCATTTTGGACTGTTTCATCATGAAAATTTCGCTGTCTTCAAATGGCAGCTGGAATTTTTAAATAATGTGGGGGAAAAACAAGGAGACACAAGTGCAGCGATAGTAAGTAATACATTCTCTGTAAAGAAATTTAGGATTAGAAATTTGTGTCAAAAACTATAAAAGGACATGGTTTTGTTCCATCAGCAGCGATATATCAGAACATCGCTCTGTCAGTACACTGCGTTACGAAAAGTTCATCCAGACTAAAACCCAACTTACATATATATATATTTTTTCCATGATGCGTTTGTGGCTATTATTGTTGCAACATGCCAGTTTAACCAGTGCACTGATTAGAAATAAAACGTTTCATTCTGCATTTTGACTGATGATGGGCCGGTTTGGGTCAGGTTTAGACAGAATTTAGTTGTACTCGGGTCAGTTTTGGACTCAAAAGTTGATGAGGTTCGGTCTGGTTCGGACAAAACTTTGTCATGTTGGGTTGGGTGCTGTTACACACAAATAGGCTAAAACACAAATTATACACAAATAGTAACTTTCCAGAGTTGCAGTTTTGATCTAGGATGGATTTTTATATTTTTATCTTGCATATCAGTTATAATATGTATAGACCAAGGCTATTTAAAATGATAATGTATACTTCTGTTGTACACAGTTTGAGATCAGTGTTTTTAGCACTGTAAATCCACTTTGGCTGCAGATAAAAGTATAACTTCAAAAGAAGTGTCCAGAATGATGAACAGATCTGTAGGTGATACTAAAATAATTAAGAAACTTTCTAACATCAATAATGAAGTTTCAATAGGTTAACATCTAGAATGCCTCATATTTCAGTAGTGAGGCAGAATATTTCTGACAAAAATTAGTATTATGTTTTATTACATCTTGTTGTTCCAAATACTGTTTTCTAGTGAATAATATTCAAATCTACATTGAATCTACAGTTGTTATTGTATAGAAAGTAACAAATAAACCAATCTGACAGGTGATTAGTTTGAGCAGTAGTGTAGTTGCTGTAACGGACTCCTATATTATTGTATTCTGCAAGTCTGTTACTTCTTAGCTCGTCAAGATGTTTGCTAGCACTTGTTGAAATTAACATATGTTTGTTCCAGGGCTACGCAGATGAGATGGATAATCCCAGCATGGCTCATCTCATCCCCATCACTCTCCACAACAAGAAGGACGTTCTGTTCGGCAACATGGCTGAGATCTACCAGTTCCACAACAAGTGAGTGTAGCCTTGCCTAACCAGAGGTGCTAAGTGTCTTAAACAGCAGCAGGTTCTGGAGTTTTTCTCCTTGACTCGAATGTAGTCAATCATCCAAGACATCTTGGGTGTCTGAAGTTTGCTTCTTTAGATTTGTACTGGAGCTATGAGGCTAAAGTAGATAACAAGTAAACAAATAGACCTGCTTATGTGGCTTCTGACACTGTATGACACATTGTTATCTATAAAAAATGGACAAAAGTACAGACAAAATTCAGGCTTCAAGGTTAGTACTGTCTTTGTGTGCCATGTGACCTGCTATGTCCATTTATGTCATTTACTGCAGCAAATGTAAAGCAACTGATGATTTTGGCATGCAGTGAGTACAGTGCTAATTGGTGGTTTGTAACTACTATTAATTATTAGCTACATTGGCCTCATAGCTACAGTGCAAAACTAAAGAAGCAAACTTCAGACACCAACATTACATCAGCGCTCCTACTTTGATAGCCTTCATAAATTTGGACCCAGCTTTTAAGAGTTTAGTTGCCATTCTTTGACTAATGCTGTTGCTTGTGTCTATTTCAGAACTTTCCTCCGGGAGCTTGAGGCCTACACAGATTGCCCCGAGCTGGTGGGCCGATGCTTCTTAGAAAGGGTGAGTTGAGTTTAGCATGTGTGCACATGTAACTGAACTGTAAGAATGTGCTTTGATGGGTGGGGAACAGAAAAGGTTTGGCAGTTGAGCTTATGCAGACTGACACTGTCTTTCTTTCTTTCTTTGTTTTTTTTGTTATGTGCTTTTTCTTCCCTCAGATGACAGACCTTCAAATTTATGAGAAGTACTGTCAAAATAAGCCACGCTCCGAGTCACTATGGCGACAGTGCTCTGACTGTGCCTTCTTTCAGGTAGTCCTCGTAGGCCCTTCCTTTTGCTTAGTCAGTGCACCACACATGTAATTTGTAATTATATATATATATAGGGAATAGAGATTGAATGGTACTGTATGCCATCATGAGAGTCTAATCTTATATACCACAGTGTACTTTGTACTACGTTACATAATACAGTTTACTATGTACTTTCCCAATACAGATTAGAGTACCACCCCACTGCATACATCTCGCTCAACTTTACAGCTAATTAACATGCCCTTCATGCCCTTAAAATGGGTGTGAGCACGGAAAATACCAAGTTTATTAGTACAAGGGTTCTGGGAAGCAATGATGCACTATAATTGTGGGACTGATAAGCTGTGATTGATAAGCCATTACATATAAATATAGGTGTGAGAGGGTGTTTAATAAAGGATAAGTGAATAATGTATAATTCACTTCTGGCAATAATTAAGCTGTTGTGTGGGGAGAATTCCTGGAGGAGTGTAGTCATTGTGTGTCCAGGTGTTTATTGAGAAACTGTGGTAAGGTGTGTATGTGTGTTTGTATTTGTGCTATAGGAGTGCCAGAAGAAACTGGAGCATAAACTGGGCTTGGACTCATACCTGCTGAAACCTGTGCAGCGCATCACCAAATACCAGCTCCTCCTCAAAGTACAAACCCACAGCTCACTCGCCACTCAGCCTAATACTGCGTCTGCTTGATTTAGTACCTTTTCAGGACAACAATATCCAGACTTTTTTCAGCAAAACGAGAGAAAACAGAAAAATAAGGCTAACCTACAGTCGTATGCTAGTTTGAGCACTGTTGGTCAAATGACAGGTTCTGTTGGTTGTCTAAGTGAAAATAAGTCAACACATGCTCTACAGAGAACACAATTCTGCATATTTTAGTGCACAAATCACTAATTATTTGTTTAACGTTCTGGAAAAACATAGGTTTCATTTTTTCCACAATCTGTTAAATTCAGCAAATAAATAGAAATTGTGCACTGAAATGTGAAGAAATGTTCTCTCTGTACAGGATATGTTAACTTATAAATGTCTTATTTTCACAAAACCTGTCATTTCATCAGGAGTTCTCAAACTAGCATGTAAGTAATTACATATATATAATAGATATGGGACATACTATTACATATACACACTTAAATATATAATACATATTTTACATATAGATATTCGCTTATATGCGAAACATATGGGACAAATTACATGTAGGATACTTACATCTATGTAATACATTTGGGACATATTACTATTATATATACGCTACTGTGCACGTTCTTGGAATAACTTGTCATATTAGTAGTTCTTCTTTTTACAACAATAGTAATTTGTACAAGAAGATTCAGATATTATAAACTGGACACCAAAAGGTAGTTTTTGAAATATTTAAATTTTTTTCTGGGACCAAAAAAAAAGTTATTAAAATATAAATAGTATACTGTAATTATCTTCTGTATTTACAGTTATTTTGCATTTCAAAATGTGATCACTATTTTTAAAATATGTGACATTTATGGAAATTGATTTATTATAACTTTATTCCCAACACTGTACAGCTCTCAGTCATTTTAGAATCATCTGAATCATCTCCAGTTCTGTTCATCATTGTGGATACAACTTTCTTTATTTCTTCTTTGTATCTTCCCACTAATTATTTGAAAGCTTTCTGAAACAAAATTGACTTTTATTATCAAAAATGTTTTTTAATGTTTTTTTTTTTTAATACAAACTTTTGAACTTTAACGACAAACATTTGAGTGGTGTTCTAGGTAATTATATATTTGTAATATATATGTATGTATGTGTTTCAGGAATTATTAAAGTACAGTAAAGGCTGCGAGGGCTCAGAGGACCTGCAGGAGGCGCTCTCCTCCATCCTTGGCATCCTCAAAGCTGTCAACGACTCCATGCACCTCATTGCCATCACTGGATATGAGGTACACTGGCCCAGGAGCATCATTTCTATTCCTACACAAAGAAAGATCAAGTCCATTAACAATATATTTTCAACAATCTGAAGATGCTGCAAAAACGTACAAAATTTATCCAAATTAAAAGTCCTGAAGTTTCAGCTCAGAAACAATAACTTTATATTACATTAAAATACATGAAAAGTTTTCTTTTTAAATGTTCTGTTAGTATATTCTTCATGAAATGTTTATGCAATGTTAAGGGCAGATACCTTTTTTAATAAAGAAAAGTAAGAGATGTTTTCTTATGTCAACAGCAGTTTATCACTTCTGTAGTTAACAGGTCAGTCACTATGAAAATCTCTAATACTTCTGACTTGTTGTCCCCAGGGCAACCTGAGTGAGCTGGGCAGGCTGCTGATGCAGGGTTCGTTCAGCGTGTGGACAGAGCATAAGAAAGGTCATGCCAAGGTCAAGGACCTGGCGCGCTTCAAACCAATGCAGCGGCACCTGTTCCTGCACGAGAAAGCACTGCTCTTCTGTAAGAAACGTGAAGAGAACGGCGAAGGTTATGAGAAAGCACCGTCCTACAGCTTCAAACACTCACTCAGTGTAAGACTCTCTACTAAAACACTCACAGGATGGCAGATTGCTTCGTTTAAACACTGCCACAGTGTATGACTTAAAGGTGTATGACCTTTTCCCTGAGGTTCACTTATAATGTGTATGATTTTATTGACCAAAACCAGTCATAATTCATTTCTACAAGGCTATTTTCCAACCTCACTTTATCTCTTAGTAACGTGTTACTGTGCCTTTAAGACTACTATATGTAAATAACCTCTGTTCTGATTAGCTGTCCCATATTGTGCCTGTTCAGAAAGCAGTCCAGCCTGAAACATTCCTCATAACTTAAGTGTGAGTGGGCGGGGCTGAATAGGTGGATATATGTAAACACACTGGTTTTTGTGGCATCACAAAAACAGCTTAGTTTCCGTATATAAAATGTATAGACTGGGTTATGAATGGTACATTGTGACCTTTTAACAATGCTTATATACTTCAAACTTTTATTTCCAAACAGTGAGGACATTACAGTTTTCATTAAATGGGACCTTTAACTTAAAATGCCTGAATAATTTCATGGCTTTAAACTCTAAAACTCTAAGTTTCGTGGCTTAGTTCAAATACAAAATGTATGTCTTGTAAAAGCTTCAAACATGTGCTTATAGTCAACCTGAAATCAAAATGGACCTTTTTTTACCTTGTTACCTCATATCCCTGGTCATGCTAAGCACTTCATCATGTACATATTTAAATACAAATTTTTTATTTTCCCATAATTTTTAATTGAAGTGTAGTGACTTTATTTTTTTGCCTGCCTCTAAAATGTCTTCTGCTTTTACATCATCGAGGAAAAATAGTAATAACCAACCCTGTTTCAGCTCACACTCCCAACACCCTGATCTATAGTAAAAAATAAAGCAAACCTCAGACACCAAACACGTCTGAAGCAAGTCTACATTTGGGGGGGAAAGTTGTGTAATTGTGGGAAAATTGTATAAATTTGATATTTTGACAAAGTATTCCTTTAAACATTCACTTTGTACTAGTGTAAAATAGGGCTTTTTCTCTTTGGCAAGTATTTAAGTTACTCTCTCTCAGTCAACGAAAGAAAAGGATTCTGCTGTCACAGCACCCTAACAGCACTCCTCTTGTTTCCAACAGATGAGTGCTGTAGGAATCACGGAGAACGCCAAGGGAGACAACAAGAAATTTGAGATTTGGTGCAACTCTCGAGAAGAGGTCTACATTGTGCAGGTGAGTTCTCACGGTCTGAACTGAAGATAAAGCTGTTTTGTAACTGACATAAAAGAAATAACAGAAATAAAGAAATAAATGTGTCTGTAACACTAATGCGCACTGATGTTTCCTGTTTTCATGTTCAGGCGCCCACAACGGAGATCAAGACGGCGTGGGTGAATGAGATCCGGAAAGTTCTGACTGGCCAGTTAAAAGCCTGCAGGGGTGAGAGAGAGAGCGAGAGAGAGTGAGATACAGAGAGAGAGAGAGAGGGATCATGCTATTTACACAAACACATCTGGTAGACAGGCCCTAGTTTTGGTACAAAGAAAGTGGATCGTCAGAATGATTTTTTTTTTCTCTCTGCTCAGCCAGATGTGCTGATCTTCTTACACATCTCCCTCATTAACATGTCAAACTGTATAAAGACCATAAACACTGCCCATCAAGCGGAACAGCTTTCTTTTGAAAATGTTTTTAATACAAATAAGCATATTTTCATATATCAACATATTAAATAGAAAGCTGTTTAGATTTTGTCAAGTCAAGATGAATCTAAAACCATGAAGAGAAATGTAACTACATGCCAGAACACAGCATCTCTTCTGGCTTTAAATGTCATAAATGGTTAGAAATGTATTAACAAATACTGCTGCTGTGTTATTGTGAACTACAGAGGCAAGTCAGCAGAAGACGTCCGAGCAGGTTTCTCCGCTGCCCAATGCCGTGATTAGCCTCAGCCCCTTTAAGACCAATCAGAAGACAGTGAAAAAAGGGGATGAGAAGAAAATGGAGACCGTCACCGACTCTGGGTTAGCACCTTTATCGAAAAACACCGACAAAATTAAAGGTGAGTCAGCTGATCCAGGAGGAACTATGAAGTAATAAAGCTAATAGGGTTCATTTAGCACTCTGTTGTCCTGCTAAATGCAGTTATACTGACTTGTTCCCTTTTAGCCATCAAGAATTTGCTATTATTATTTTGTAGGTAAAATATTTCTTTATTATTAGTATAGAAACTATTGTTTTAAAAATATAGTTATGTAGAAAATATAGAAAAAAAAAACATTTTAAAGATTTCATTGGTGAGAAGAGTTGGCATTGCTAACAAGAAGCAAAAGCTAGTGAGGTTCAGTCATAGATATACATACCTAGATGTCGCATTGCCTGTTGATCTCTATCTGAGGTGGTACGTCTGCACGTCTGCCATGTTGGTGCGGTCAAGATCTGCTTGTGAACAAATTCACTTGTGTTGAGAGGTGATGAGCCTCATGATTAAATCGGCCACAACTTCCTTTTTACTCAACTGATTTTCACCAAATTTGTTTTGTTATAACCCACAGACATAAATTAATCTATGCTGCACGGACTGCTCTCAGTAACTTTTATTTCTTTATTTCTTTATTTCTAACTGATCGTGCTAATTAGCCGTCTGGATCAGCAGAAAAGTATTCAGTCTGAACCTGACGTTAAAAAACGAGTTTAGTGCGAGCAGAAACATAATCTCACACACATCAGCAGATCCATCAATGTGTGAATCACTTCTCATCCTAATACTCATAAAAATAAAATAAACCCCCAAAACACAGGACGAAGCTAAAGTTGACTTCCTGTTCGCCAGCTTGTTGTTCAATTTTCTTGTTCCACCTTAAATGGTGCAGCAGTCACTTTCTGGTGCCTGAAGCTGCACGATTTAAGGTGGAACAGGAAAATTTGAACACAACGCTGGCTGATGCACCATTTAAGGTGGAAATTCGAACAAGAAGCTGACAAATAAGAAGCTAACTTCAGCTTCGTGTAAGGTGCTAACATCTATCTATTATGAATATCTACACGGATTAAGGAATGCTAGAACTTACCTAGCTACAAAGCAATAACCATCATTGTAAATAAATAACTACTACATCAAGTTAAGATCCCCTGAATAGACTATTAAATGAAATAAGCTTAATATAAAACCAGAGGAAAAACAATCACATCAACAGGTTCTCTGTGCATCACCAACACACGGCCATGTCTACACATAAACATCACACAAATAATACGCATCACACAAACATGAGTGTGGGTCACTGTGTTCCCTCCATTATATAATCCTATCCCACTCTCTGAGTGCAGTATTCTTGAAATAGTATAATTTTTGACAGTATCTTACTTAAACTGTCACTCAGTAATGGTACTGAATACAGTCCAGCAGCAATGTTGACCGGCCTAAAATGGTGGCACCGTTGACGTGCCTGACTGGACCCAATGCAGCATCTAGGTATGTACATCTATGGGTTCAGTTAGCATTTTGATGGTATATTAAACTTCCTCCTTAGCCATTGCAGTTTCCTCTTACTATTTTAGGTGGAGTATTTTAAATACAATAAACCAATTATGTTTCTATCTTAAAGTAGGACTTGGGCCATATATTGTGAAGATACAAATCTGTGGTCTCTTTATGCTCCCCAAAATGCCAAATCAGGGTCTGTAATATGTTCCTAAATGCTTACGTTCAGTGCCTCCTTTCTGCTGTATGATTCTCTTTCTTCTTGCTTTAGTTCCTCTGCAGTTACTAATCCCTTGTTTTCACACCCTTGGACTTCTCTTGTCTCTTATCTTCTCTGCATCTCTTCCTTTCTTATTTTCTCTCCCATCTTCAATTGCTACTCTTTTGCTCTCTCTTGCTCTATGGCTCTTTTCCCTCTTGGTTTCTCTATCCATTTCTCTTCATGCTCTGTAGATGAGGCAGTAATCAGTCCTTCCACAGACAGGGCAGCAGTGGCTAAAAAGCGTTTTACACTGCAGGGCTTCAGCAACCTCAAGAGTCAGAAAGGTACGACAGGGCTTCCTGAGTTTCTGCACACGTAAACCACCAATCACCAATTACAGCAGGACTATATGACAATACTAACCAGTCCTGCTACAGTCATAAAAACAAAGCTTCCTAAGTGGATGCACTGGTCTAGGAAAAACCTTTAACTGGTATAGAACTTTATATAATTTGGACTTTAACCCCTTAACGGTCCAGGTTTATTTCACATAAAGGCTTATTACTCAGTAAGTACAGGGACTTCAAGGCAAACTAATGGAGCTGTTCTTAGGTTATAGAAGTGTATAATAAAACTGGCTTGTTAAGGGGTTAAACAGGTTCTCTACGCCCAAACACCTCACTAACAAAAGCAGTTCATTAATGAACCATCAATCAAATCAATAGTGGTTCTTCAGTGGCATCACTCCTTTATTTTAAGAGTGTATTAGGCTTAATATATACTTAATTTGATAAATATAATAAAATCATAAAAATCATAATCATATAAATATACTTAACAATATCATACTATATAACGAACAAGTCACATAGTGATATCGGTTTTATATGATACTGAAAATGACACTAAAGCGATGTTTTGACTTGATTCCTGGTGCAGAGCTGTTATCGCCCCCTGGTGGCAAAAGCCTTACACTACCCATGGTCACACTCTGTCCTCCAGGTACACTGCAGTGACAGATCTAGCTCTGATGTAGAATTAAATTAGCATAGCTTAGATTATCTTACATTAGTCAAGATATATGGAAATTAGACTCTGATGACCTTGAAGGTGAGTTTTTGAACAACTAAAATTGCTTTCAGGTAGATGTTTTTGGGGCAGGCTGTTTGAAATGTGTGGGCGTTTTTTGTTTGTTTTCTTTGTTTTTTCTCGCTAGCTGGCAAATGCAGAAGGAAGCTACATAGCTAATGTTACAAAATGCATTTTAATCAGCCTACCCCTAGAAATCCACCCCAAACCAGTTGTTGTTTTCAACCCACCTTCGACGTACATCATCAGAAGTGGGGTCCGTAATCTGGCCAAAGTGTCCCTTTAATATAAAAACAAATGCACTTTTTATGGCGGGCATAGATATTGGAAGTTGATTGGTTACTTCAGAATCTTCTACAGATAATCCTCTCATTTTGTTTTGCCTGTCTTTCCTGTCTATATTTCCTCTTTTTTTCCCCTTTCTTTCCCTTTCTCTCTCGACCTCTGTCTCTTTTCGCCTGGCTGCCAGGATCTCCCACTAGTCCTGACCACAAAACCAAACGGCATGAGATTAAGAGTGATCCCACACCATTTGGCTTCAGAGGTACACTGGCCCTTTAAGTCACATTAGCCCATCCCTCAGTGCCCATCATTGATTGTTCACCTTCAGACAAAAGTTTATTTCTAAACATTTGATTTTAACTTGTCTATTTTGTGTGCATACAGTGCACGTGTGTACTGTGTTATTTTTGTCATTGGATATTCAGATTTTTTTTCCATATTGTTTGTCCCATTATCACTTATTCATGGATTTTCCCATCAGCCGATTCTTTTAAAGGGCCCATAACATTTTTTTTTTCACTTTCTTGACAAAAGTTTGATGTGGTATATAAACATTGTTAATGTTTTAAAACATAACCTTTACTCTTCTGTTCTTGAAATCTATATATTGAAAAAAGCTGCAAACAGTTGTTCTTCTGAGGTCACAAAAACCAATGTATTTACATATATCTGCCTTTCCCATCCACAGCGGTTCAGCCCCGCCCATTCACATTATAATATGTCACACTGAGTATTTCGACGCTGACTGCTTAGACTGTAAAAGATAAAGAGAAGTGAGAAAGTGGTCATGTAATTAATTATGAATGCACTCATACAGCGCTGTGCAAAAGTCTTAGTCACCTGAGAAAAGTTAAAAGGGTATTTAATTGGGCGGTACGCGTTTATTGTCCCAGAAAAACACTAATATTAGCATAAGTACATATGACATTAATAGAATAAGTAGTGATTTTATGTGCATCAGTGTGTTTGTTGAACTATTTCCAAACCTCTCCTCAAGGAAGTTATTAAATGTAGTTACCATCCAACACCTGGTATGACTAATCAGTGCTTCTTTATGTTAAATGAAGGGTGCCGGTGATGGTTTAGAGTCACTGATGAGAAATCTGAAACCAGACATTGTTAATGTGGTTATACCACATGAAATAGATGAGAAAATTACTTTTTTAAAAAAAACAATAAATTCTTAGTAATTTTTACAGCACCAGTGTAGATTTACATTTATTCTAATGCTGAATTGTGACTTTCACAAAGAAAAGCACACTTTCTGCATTTTGCACAGTACTGTATATCATAAGTGATCTTCAAGGAAAACAATAAGATGCAGGGGTATGTAGGATATGGACCCTTTAAAAACTCTGCTGTTCATTGTTAGGAAACCTGCTTACAGACACTGACAGAATCGATCGGTGAACTTTTCTACAAGTTCATCTAATACTGTGGCCTGTAACGTGATCACAAAAGCTTGCTGAATAAATTCAGCTGAATTTAAACTGACAGGAGACAGCAATAAAATGATGCCAACGGTGGGTATTTGGGAATTGTCAGTGGGAAGCTCTGATTGGTTGCCTTTCCCTCAGACACAGGTCCCCACATCACCCTCAGCAGAGTCAAATGGCTGAGCACTTCTAGTCTCTTACAGGCTAAGCGGAGAGGTAAAGGCAGTTGCCTGGTGTTGGGTGGACTTTGACCTTCTCACTGCTACATCGCACAAAAAAAAATTAATAAAAAAATCACAATCACTAAGACACAACGGAGCGGTTTACCAGATTTCAGGAGCACTTTACCCAAAAATGCTAATGTGGCTAATGGTGACTGAAAACTACAGGGGACTGGTTAGCATTGTCGCTAACCACATTACATTGTTTTCAGTGCTGTGATTTTCAACAAGTTGTCTTGTTTTTGATTTTCTATTTTTAGCATTTTTGCTCAAACAAACATCTGCTTCCTCACTGTTTCTTTCATCCTTCATCCATTATTAGCAATGTTAGCATTTTTGGGTTAAATGTTTCTTTATGGACTAAATGGCAGCCTTTGTGGTTATTCCACATTAAATATTCTTTTTTTTTTAACCAGCTTCAGATCATAATCTCTATCCGGGAAATCGGCCCAACTGTGTCTGTGTTATACCTAAAATAGAAAAATCTTGAAATCATGCATGCCTGACTTCACAGAGAAGAAGGTGTATTGAGGAGCACTAGCAGCACCACATTGAGACACGCTCTGACAATATCTGCATGTGTTTGCCTGTTATGGGTTTGCAGTTGGGTGGTTTCTGGTTCTGATCTTGCTTTCTGGTGTCACCAATCTGCTACCAAAACAACTGTTGGATAGGCCACATAGCAAAGATCCCCCTACATGCTGTAATCAACGAATGTATAGGAATAATTTCAAGTAATGTGTTATAAGAGAAGCTCATCTCTGAGGCGTAAGAAGAAAGTCTTCTCTTGTATGTGGTTGAAACTAATAACTTGAGGCCCCTCATGTTCATTGGTCTACTGAGCACCACCCCCCATGTAGCAGCGAACAGCCTTCAGCAGGGCGTGACTTGTTTTGACTTCACAGCCTGAAGGAGATAGCTCACTGCTACGCGTGGGTGGTATGAAGATGTGGACCACATGTTCTTGTCTTCAAAAGGTTTCACCAAATGCGCTATCATGGCAAACATTGTATGAAAGTTAGTGTGCTTGTTGTACAGTACTGTGCAAAAGTACAAGTTATTAATTTTTGGAGACACTTCTGAGAAGATTACATATAAAAATATTCCTTATTGCTTAACCAAGAACAGAGGAAAACAAGTAGAAAAAACATGAGTTTCCAAAATTGGAGTTCAAAAAAATTAAAAGTCATAGAGAAATTGGGACTCATAACAACCGTGCAAGACCTGGTACACCAGCAACACTGTCACCATCGGATAAACAGCACTTAAAGCTTTCATCTCTGAGAGAGAGGAGAAAATCAAGCTCCACTCTTACTTCAGATCTGGAAAAAAAAATCCTTCCCTTCCTCCATCCTTCCACTGTGAGCAGACCCATCAACAACATGGGTCTGAAAGGATGTGTAGCTTTCAGTAAGCATTTACAGAGAAAATAAAATAGACAAAAAAGAAGCGCAGTTGTGCTAGAAACCTAAAACTGGACATCTGAGATGTGGAGTAAGGTTTTATGGACTGATGATCCTTAAGTTGTAATTGCACTTTTATTTGTAAGAGCAGAAATTTCAACCAACTTCTAAAACTGAACTTTGGAGGTGAATCTGTTAGTCAGATTTACTGCCGTTTTGCTATATGATTCAAAAGTAGTTACATAAACATGAAATAGTTACATCAGGAATTACATTTGATTCACATTCTGTATCAACAGGTTCAACTCTGCATGTCTATTTCACTGTTTTCGTGTGAACAACTAACAAAAATATGACAAACATTTTTTCTGCAGAATAAGATTGTACGCACAATATAACTTTCCATCAAAATCAAATCATAATAAAATATCTCCTCTTTTACTAAGAAAGACAAATTTGATGTTGATTGAAAGTTTAAAATCTGCACTTACAACAGAAATTCTGTGCTTGTTTCAACAAGCTGCAAGTGAGAAATTATTGCTATAAAATTACAACATGCTTTTGTTATCATTAGGCGATAGCTGGAATGCCTAAAGGTAAAAAATTAGGATTTTTGTACTACTTTCTTCAGTCCAGGACCCTTTTCCTTGACACAAAAATGTCACTAAAACATGCTTTTATCATATATTCCACATTATGGGGTTGGCTATAAGCATGAATGTTTATAAATCACACAGCATGCTTTTTAAAAGGACAGTGCTTTACTCTTCAACAAAAGTACAACCCGAAATAAAACCTGGGGACATTTTTTGTGCGAGTACAAAGGGATTCATTGAATTCAAGTGTTGTTGGGTTCAAGTGTGTGTAGTTTGTTTCTGTTCCTCTCGTCAGCTGGGTCATGATGAAGCAGTGTAGTGATTGAAACAGAACATCTCTCTTTGATTCTTCCTCTTCTTTTTTCTTTCACCATCATCCCTCCATCCCTCCAAAAAGCACTCTTTCTCTGGTTGTCTCACAATAACTGAAATACAGAGGGCCTCTTTCACCCATGTGATATGTTAATCATCTCTCACTCCGTTTCTTTCTACAGGGTTCAATAAGGCCTCTCTCTCTATGGATGCCTCAGAGGAGAACGACGGCTACTCCAGCGCCGAGGACCCTTTGAACTCTGACCCTGAGGACGAGGGCAAGAAACTGGTGGGTCACCAGGGGTTAACTGCCATGTCATCAGTTGTAAATTGTAAAATTATAAATTGGACCGCAATTATAAATAAATATCACTATTTTACTTATTAAAACCACGGGTGTGGTACAGTTATATTTAGTACATCTAGGACAGTTTTTGTTTGCACCAGAGGGGCCGACATAGCCTTAAAGCCTTTTTAAGTTTCACAGACCAGAATAAAAGTACATTGTTGCATATGGGTTGTTCATTCTTTTTAGTGTTCAGAGCTTCAAGCTGAAGGTGATTCTCGAGCTCTACCATGCACACACACACAGTGCCTCCTGTAGAGTGTCAAGAAAATTTTAGCAGAATGGGCTGTTAACCAGTGTCCGCGTCTTTGTGTCACACTGGCTCAAAGAAAAGTGCCGCTGTTAATATGTGATGGACCCATTTATCTGTGTTAACAGTGTTTTTTTAATAACAAAGGTGTATTGGACTTGATGTGGACTCTTGCATCTGTGAAAATTGCATCTGCTTTTTCATAAGTAAAAGCTAACTTGCTATGAAAAGGCCTCACAAGGATCACACATAAAACTGAACTTAAGAATATAAAAAGATTTAAATATCACTTATTATGATATGAAAAATGAGACAATCAGTTAGATTGTGGGGTTGGAACTAACTGTTGTGTAAATGCATGAAATATAAAAAATTTCCTATTGTGATATTAATGTATCACTGCTCTCAGAACAAAACAGAACATCTCCATTTTTGTCGTTTTTCAGTTTTTGACATAATTTGAAAATGCCTGTTGTCCTTTACATTGTGTGTAAATTTCATGATAAATGGACCAAAAGAAACGGCCCAAATTGACTTGGAAAAAGTCCATTGGTTCCTTTGAGGTTCCATTGACTGACAGTAAAAGTAAATCATGTTTTTAGTATGTTTTTTCCTTCTCCTATAAAGTTACCATTTTGGAAATATGAGGTTTTGTTCTGACACAATGAAAGTTATATAAGTTATATAAATATATGTAATCTATATATAATATAAATTGTCTTAGTATATTGGTTTTAGACATTGACCTGGGGTGTGTGTGTGTGTGTGTGTGTGTTTGTGTTTGTGTGTGTGTGTGTGTGTGTGTGTGTGTGTGTGTGTGTGCGTGTGCGCGCGCAGTCTCCAGGCAGGTACGTGGTGGTGGCTGATTACGATAAAGGAGGAGCTCAGGACCTCTCAGTGAAGAGTGGAGACATGGTGCAGCTTGTCCGAGAGGGCAGTGACGGACAGTGGTAAACAATAATCATTACAGTCATTTAATCGTTTAATCCATAATTAATTATTAACTGTTATTAATTAACCGGTGTTACTAATTCCATTACATAGTTATTTAAATTGATTCATTTGTTTTGTTTTATTTATAGTTTAGATTTTTCTCTAATCATATTAAAATACCTCCTCTTCTTCTTACAAAAACAAATATGGCATTGAATATTTAGATTTAGCACTTTCTACAGAATTTCTCTGCTCACTAACTAATTAAACAAAATGCAGGAAGAGAAGTTTCAATGCATATACACCATGGGGGGGTACCTAGGAAGGTTAAAGGCATTTTTACACTCCCCGTCCTGATGACCCTACACTTTTCCCACCTGTTTGACAGCTTATTAGCTAATTAACAAGCTCCTCAAAGAATGGATATGGTGTACAGAGTAGAGGAAACATAATGCAGAGCATGGGGTCAACAGGGCTGGAATTGTTAACTCCTGGTTAAAATAATAAAATAATTTGATAAATAAAATATGGCTAACAATGAATAAAATCTAGAAAACGCCATGTAGCATGATCTCATTGGCTCATTTCTGACTGGTGGCTGCTAGCTTTCATTCTTTACTTGTAATGCTAGTATGATTGGGGGGATATGCATTTAACAAAATGTGATTGTGGTAGATTGAAATTGTTAATATAGAAATCAGTAATTATGTTATAAGGCTGTGCAAATTGATTTGTTCATACTCTAAATAATGAAGTCATTTTAAGTCATCGCTGTTAGATTCTTTGATGCTTCTCACACAGCTGTATTATTTGTGTTATGTAATGTTATGTTGTTAATGTCTCTATTCGTGTGCGTGTGTGCGCGTGTGTGTGTGTGTGTGCGTGTGTGTGTTAATTGTTTCAGGTTTGTGCGTAACCTGAAGAACAGTAAGGAGGGCTGGATGCCTGCTGCTAATCTACTCACTCTAATTGGAGAGTCAAAGTCCTCACAATCTCTCACCAGCTCAGGTAAACAAGTAATCTGGAATTTTAAATACCCGACTTAATGAAAGCTTAACATAGGCTGTGTAGCTTTGCCTTTGTACACAAATATACTTTTGATATATGACTAAAATTTGGTATGGAAAACTATGGCTTGATTTCAGTATGGTGGCTGCCAAGTAGTAGCAACTCCAGGGCTTTAGTGCAGTATATAAGACATAGCCAAAGTCTTCCTGGACCACACGCAACTGACCAAGACAGACCAGTACAACATTAAAAATGACAATACAGTATATACACAACAGAGCAAAACTAGTCTCAAAGCCCAACAGTGAATACAATACAACCAGAGCTGACACCAATCTAATACCTAATGTCAATATTGGAATGATAACAGCCAAAAATGCCAGTTCTGCAACAAATCTAGCCTCAGATGAATGCTCTCAAAGAGTATAAATTGGCCTCTCTCACTCTGGATGACCCCCCACCCCTCTGTCCCTCGGTTATGGTAGTGATGCAGGCATCTGTTAGCTAACATTACAGAATTGACCATTAGCAAAATTCAGACAAGTGCCACCTCTTTTTAATAACTGCTGCCTTAAGTTCAGGCTACCTGGTTGCATCCATTGCACCAAAAAGCTCAATAGCAACAATAAAAACATTTTATTATACAAAAATAACTAAAATAAAACAAATAAATGGCAAAATATGAATGTAGGACAGTTTAAATAAAAAGTGGATTCTGGAAATGTGAACTTAAATCTCAACCTCATTATTGTTTCTCTCTACATAGAATGTTTTAGTGACAGATGCTGTACAATTCTGTTTAATCTGACTGATTTTGTCAGCAGCTAATTTAAGAAAAGCTAACTAGTTACATATCTGCTCTCAACATTGTTCTGTAACTTGATTGTTAGACATCATTTTACTTTTTAGAAAGATTTTTAGCAGCTATAGTAACTCAGATGAAGTTTAGCTTACCTCAGAGCCAGTGGAAGTCTGCCTGTTAATAGTTTTATTATTGAGCAGCGAGTGAGGTCCTCCACATAGTTTAATCCAGGCAAACTCTTCCATGCATGTTGAGCTAAAGACTTTGCTGTAGCAGCAGTTGAGGGAAAGATGTCTCAGAGGAAGAACTTGCTAGCATTCACCTTCCCAGCTTGGTATCAGTGTGTGATGGGGGAGGGGGGCAGGTCTGTGAGTAGTTTGGGGAGAAAACTTTCAGTATTGGGTTTGGAAAAAATGTATAAGAATGTAAGCAGTGCACTACTGACAGATGTTTTCGCTTCTCAGGTTAGACTGTATGCTCGATAGAAACTGCCATATATTTCATTGAAACTAATGGTTGTGTATTATGTTTATTAGAAGGCAGCGGGTCAGGCAACTTGAGCACTTCTTCCAGCTGCAGTGAAACCTACACCAGCTTTTCGGACATCAAACCATGAGGCTTCACTCTGGCTCCGACCTGCCTCTACAGCCCAGCCTTGTGGCAGCTCCTACACATTGCACTTTCTGCTGAGACAGCTCCTTCATGTACTGTACTTAGAACCACAACTTTAAACCATATCTGTTTAATGTACGGCTTCATGCTCACCTCTCACCTACTCCTACTGGTGTTGCAGAAGAGAGATAGAAGAAGCCGGGCTTGCTCTTTTTTTCCCAAATATGATTTTATTTGAGTAAATGATGGCATAATGGCCTGATACATTTCGTTTTAAGAGAATACACCCTCTGCCCTGAGAATATTAAGTACGTCATAGTTTTAATTGAAAGCAGGGCACATAGGAGCCCAAGCATGTGAAAATCAGCTTGTACAGGCTTCTGTGGCCACTGTGTTTCAATGGGCTTTGGTTACAAGAGCAAAAAATCCACTAAACTGGAAGCTTTAAGCATTGCACTTCCGCTTGGTTTTACTGGTATTAAACCTGAGAAAATCAAAACTCTTTGGAATGTCCTATTTTCAGGAATGGCCCACTTTTCTTACTCGTCGACATTGTAGAAGAAAACCTGAATGGAGCGTTATGTAATATGGATAAAGATTTTTGGAATCATGCCTGGTTTCTTGCTATCAAAACAACTGTGAAAATGTCCCATCCCTCTCATTGTATGTATTAATCCCAAACAGCTGTATATTTTAGATGATTTGCTGTATGATAAAGATTTGTACAGATATTATAACTTTTACCTCATTTTTCATTAAAATAACAGTGTATGTATTGTACATTAAATCATGTTTTCCATGAATTGTGTTTTGTCATTGTATATGGAGCTCATTTTAATTTTCTTGGTCTGCACTAATTCATTTTTTATTTTCATTTTTAAAGATTTTACTCTTGCATTGTATTGTACTATCATAGATGACTGAATCAAGATGTGAAATCAAAGGCCAGTAATTTATGAATTATGTATTCATAAGTAACTTCTACTCAAAGAACCTGAAAATCATCACAAAGATCAATTTATCATAGAGCTCTTGCACAAATTCTGCCAGTCAAGACGGAAAAAATATCTTTAGGCCTGTATTGCGTTTGCTATAAATTTGTAATTGTGCCCCCTGTATGTCTGTATGGTAAACACTGCAAATGTTTGATGTTTTGAATCAACAGAATCTACTGTATGTTTCAATCTCGATGCATTCTACACGGCACTTTGCCCTTTGTCTTTCTCTATTTTCATACGCCATTGTTGATATGAAGGTATATGTGACTGCTATCTGTGTATATGTGTACATATGTATTTAAGAGGTTGTATGAGTTGTATGAATTCAGAGAAATTAAGCTTGAATAAAGTTCACAAAAACATTCTGCTTAATTCTATTCTGTTCACAATTCACCCATCTTGAGTTGCAATGTGGTCTTTTTTTTTTTTTTTTAAAGGAAGACTGAAAAGACTTTATGTATGTATGTTCAGTTAATCCTGAGCGCAGGTCCTTGGTGACATTTCAACACATCATTTTAGATGGGTGTAACAGGCTGCTTTCATTACCACCCTTGAATGGATGCTTTCTTATTTACTCACAGTTTCTGCAAACTTTTCCACAAAGATGATACAGATGAATGAGAAAATCAATGGTGTTACACGTCCCTTCTTTATGTGGGGTTTGTAATCATAGAGAAGAAGTGAAGGGTGGAGAGACTCTAAGCTATGAACTGTAAATAAGCTGAATCAAAGCTTGCAAGGGCAATAACCTTTTTTGTCCTTTAACACAGTAAACATGGCAAAAACAAAACATCACTACTGAACCTTTATACATGTTACGATACTTTGTTCTTTACGATGTTAGCAAACACATTGGAGTTGACAAAACGCTCTAAAAAGTGCCACATTTACAGCAAACCATGAAAAACTGCATAATGGGCTGACATTTAATTGGCTATGATTTGCTGTGCTGTTTTTTGTGTCCCTACCGTTTAGATATATTACACTTGAAAAACATGTTAGGGTTACAATTTATTTATATTTTAAAACACAACAATAAGTTAGTTTAACAATTGCACCTTCTTGAGACATCAATTCAGCAATATTCGTTTTTAAATCAATTATATAGAATTCCAAGCACCATAAAAGTGCTCGTCCTCACAGTCATGTGTAAAGGGTGAATGCCATACTTTTAGCTCTTTTATGCGCTGGTTGTTGTTTAGGGCTCTCTATAACTGGTTTAAATCTGTCTCTTGTGTGATAGTACAGTTGTTCAGTGTTTGAAAAGTACTGAAGAGACCCACCCCTAAGTCACATAGGCATTTCACAAGTGATTATATTTGTGCAGAGTTCATAAGGCTACATGACACATATGCCTTCATGACAACTGACATAAATCTTCATACAAAATTTAAAAGGCTTATTCCAACAAGCTTCACTTGTCATAGGGTCATTTTACAGAAACATCCACTTTTTTATGTATCCATAGGAGTCACTGGTGTTACTGATCATCATTGTCGTTACATATAAGAAAGGGAACACCAGAGACATTTTTAATGAAAAATGCATTTTACAAAATGGCTGCTACAGAGAATCAAACCACATGTTGTCATTCATGGAATATCCACTAAAATATGTCATTTAATGCGTTTGTATTCTATTTTTTCACAATTACCTAAGAATAAAGTAGGTCACACCAGTGACCTCAACTAAAAGCTTCATATGAAATCATGAGCTAAATGAGGAAATTTCTGACAACTGAAAAGACACAGTGGACTTACCATGTGCTTTTCTTCATAGATCCTCAGAAAATAGGTAAAAGGAAGTCAAGTGATGACATCAGTGTGATTTTTATTTCAAGATTTTTTTGTTACGCAGTAACACCAGTGCTCCAGGGGACCACAACTTTCATTATACATTTTATAATATTTATTTGCCATTTGTTTTCTTTGTCATTTAATTCATATATTTCATAGTCATGTATAGATTATTACAGTTAAAATTGAAAAAAAAAAATGTTTTTTACCTCAAAATAATGACTGTGAGGACGAGCACTTTTACGGCGCTTGGAATTCTATATAATTGATTAAAAAGCAATATTGCTAAAATGATGCCTCAAGAAGGTGCAATTGTTAACTAACTTACTGTTTTGTTTTATAAATAAATATAAATAAATTGTAACCCTAACATGTTTTCAAGTGTAATATATCTAAACGGTAGGGACACAAAAATGGACATTTCCATAGAATGACTTCATACTTTCAGAGGCGAAGACATCAGGATTGTCTAAAGCAACCTTTATGATAAATGATGTGTGGAATAACCCTGTTAGAAAAACTTGCGTAGCTGGTCACCAGCAAAACCAGCATATTATTGTTGTTGGAGCAAAACCTCATATCTCCAAAAAGATAACTTTACAGGACAAAGAAAAAATGTGAACTTTTAATGAAAGTTATTGGAGAATGTTTTTTCAAAGTAATTTTGGGCCATTTTGATTGGTCCATTTGTCATGAAATTTTGACATGACATAAAAGGCGTCTGACTTTTTCAAATTATGTTAAAAAAAAAAGTAAAACAGCAAAAATGGAGCCACTAGGATTTGTCCTGAAAGCAATGATATGTTGTGTTTTGGATGCTGGTATGCTGGTCAACCAGCATGACCGCATGGAATCCATACTGGTCTGTGCTGTTTTTTTCAGCAGAGGCTAAAGGTCAGTTGTAATGAAATGGTTGCAGAGGCGTCAGGTAGCCTTACAAACACTACTCACAGCAAAATGTTACCACATATGTGACAACATGTTATGCCCTGACATTGCACGTTCTCATGTTTATGTGATCTTGTTTTATTTTTTAAATGTGATAACGTCATAAGGTGTGGAAGTCCATTTCAACATGAAATTACAAGCGACAAGTGTAGGTGAATGAATCACTATATAAGAAAATCACAAAGGAGAAAAAAATGTGCATCACATTTAAAGTTCAGGAAGAGTGTCTAAAAAACATGTGATGGTTCACAAGTCATGTGATTTACGTAGAAAAGTGTCGCACTGTCCACCCCTAACAGACAGCGTGAGCTCGAGCTCAGTTTTGGGCCCTTTTTCATCTGCTAGCAGCAGCAGCTCTGTTTCAGAGCCACTCAGATGAGTCATGATGTATCAGCAGTGGCCACTGGCTGCTCATTCACACACACTGTTTACGTGACTGTCCATCTTCGCGGCGCTCGGCCCTGTCCAGCACGATAAGAAATCAGCCTCTGACGTGACATTTTAAGGAGGCTGAGTCAAAGCTATGAGTCACTCTCCGAGGGAGAGTGAGTCCTCCATTACGGAGTCTGAGCACGGCCTCATCCGGGTACTGCCGTAGCCCCGCCCCGCGGGCAGAACGCACCAATGGGAGGCGGCGTTACTGGCGTTTCCACGAAGGCTGCGTGTGACTCATAGTGGCTGATCTGAGAACAGCGCGGAGGCGCTGAACACAACGGCGGACACGAACAAGTAAGTTGGCAGAACCGACCCCAGATCAGCCTGAGCTGGGCGTCCAGAGCTTTATGTCTGCTGGCCGAGGCGTATTCGACTCGCTTTAGGGACTAATCCAGCGCATCCCGCACAAAGGTGGACTTAAAGCAAGGGGTAGTTTACTGTACTATGATGGAAACTTTGGTACATCGTTAATGTCGCGTTCATAAACGCAAAAGGTTAAAAAAAACAAGCCGAATTTTGTCCATTTTTGTAGGAATTTATCATACATTCACTGAACACTAAAGCAAACTGTAGCCTTATTTTGAAATATATCAATCTTTTTTTTCGCTTTTCCTCTAAATTCATATATTCTATTCCTGCGTTCTACCTCATTTTATTGTATAAAGTATTGAGAGGTATATTTGTCATTTATAGAGCAAAATAAAGCTAAAAAATCAGCACTGCGTTTTTTAAAAACGGATCCAACACGCTTTAATTCGCTCATACACACATTCCGCTGACGTTCTGCCCAGCACACACACACACACACACACACACATACGCACACACACACACAGAGAGACAGACACTGCTGGCGTGACCAGAAAAAAGGGCTGCTCGGTAACACAGAAGCGAGACAGCAGCAGCGAGGACGATATCCGACTGGGAGGGGAAGAGAACGGCTCCGAATAATAACAACAGTCATACCAGTATCAGGACTGGCCGCTGCACTGTAAGTATGGAGGCACTTCTTCTTTTTGAGGCGAGAGCCGTGTGTTGAAAATGAACGTCGCCCTTGACGTTGTTACAAACTTGACAAATGTACGCTAACAGCGCAGTGGTTGGAGCCGTGGGGCATTTTTCTTTCTTTCCTTTTGTTTTTTTTTTTTTTTAATCTTGGCCTTTTCGGGTTTTCTTCCAGCACAACAACAGCGGTGGCTGCACGGACGTGTGGCCAGTTTGCGCATGTCAGTCTCGGTTTGTTGAGAAAGCGAAGTGTGTAAGTTAAATAGCGAGGCTGCATATAGGCGGAGTGCCTGTCTGTCCCGTCAGTGTCTCCCTGTCTGTTTCGCTGCTACATCGGCCCGCTGTGTGTGTGTCTGTATGGGTGTTAATGTCTGGCTCTGACTCGAGCCGTGCGCTGAATTTGAATCTGATTTTTAACCGTCTTTTGTTTCAACGTTCATGTCGCTTCGTGCTAAATTCACTGAACTCACGGCCTTGCTAGCCTAGCTAACAACATCCGCACTGCTCTCTGTCTCTCTCTCTGTCTCTCTCTCTCTGCCTTTAGCCCTTTTAGCCCTTTAGCTTGATAGCCGTCATGTCGCTAGGTTACCTAACGTTAACCTTAACCTCAAGCCAACAACCACAAGTCAGGTCTGCCGACGGCCGTTGCTAAACCCAGCTTGTTTTTGTGTTTTTCTCGGTTGTTGGCTAAATGCTACACCACATTCTTAGCCTCGTAAGCTGACCCCCTGGTAAACCCTGATACTGTCAACTCAAGTTCAAAACTGCGTATTATAGCTTGTTAAAATGGTAACTACATCACGTTAATTTATAAAATACGTCTAAGTTAGCACAGTGAGTTATAGCGTAGTGTAGAGTAGTGTGTTGTTTTGGACGCACTTCAAGTTTCTGTCAGCGTTTATTGACAAAGCATAGTTGTGAATAGGCCTCAGTATGGATAAAGGTGGTTTGTAGCTACATGCACACTTAGCAGTGTCAGAATAGTTCACCACCAGTAGTAGCACATTCATGAGTACAGTACAGGGTTTTGGATGTAGACCGAGTTTCTGGCACCTTTTAGTGACAAAGTATAAGTTTGTCAGCTTAATCATATGGACAAGGGTGGTTTTTGTGTGTATACGTACTCCTGTGCTAAATAGTATTTCACAGTAATACACCAGGTGGTAGTAGCACATTCA